CTCTCTCTCTCTCTCTCTCTCTCTCTCTCTCTCTCTCTCTCTCTCTCTCTCTCTAGATGTTCGGCAATCTTTTATGAAAATCTCTAGTCGTCCGAAAAAAGATTTTTGGAAGTTTTTGAAAGACTACAAAGAGGAACAATTAAGAGCAATTATAGATCAATAATGGACAATTAAAGAAAAATTGTAAATGATGTTTTGTGTCGCGTAATTATAGTTGAATACACGTTTCGTAAGAAAAAGAAAAACCTCAATTACCGCGGACTTCAGTGTTGTTTAAACTATATGCGTATCATCTGCGTTGCATCACATGTTTACATATAATTGTGATTAACAATATTTACAACGCAAGTTATGTCGACGAAATGCGATTACTTTTTCATCTATAGAAAGTTTTGCAATAATTGATGAACGTCACATCAAATATGTGAATACTCGATATGTATTCATGATATCAAGAATTTACTTTTCTTGTATGTTTTCAATTTGTTTTGTAAAATATACTCTTTTCTGTACTTAATTCAAATAAGAAAACAACTTTTCAGTTTATTAGCAATTCGCGACATACAATAACGAATCGTCGCGAATTATTTTGGTGTCCATTTAATTTATATGTGTTTTTGTATTGAGACTCTTCGAGGAGAACAAATGTCTGTGAACAATGAGTGATTTAAATGATTCGGTAATAATTTGTGAGACCCTATCTGATTCAAATAAACAAAAACAAAACCTCCGGTTAAACCAGGAGAAAGCTAAAAAGATTAAAAGGAAAACATTTTACGAGAGTCCTCTAAGACATATTCAGTTAAGGTATTCGATAATTTTAGCAATATATAATGATATGTAGATGTTTTAGGTTCAAAATGTTTTCAAAGTTAAGTATTGGCCTTGGATTATGATATTAATGTGTATCACAAATGATTTTTTATAATTCTAGTGGCAAACGATGGGAAGAACGAATAAAAATGCAAGAAAAGTTAAATTCTACCGTAGCCAATCAACAAATTAACAAAAGTAAAAACAGGCTTTTCTCCAACAATGAACTTAATAGTTTGTGCCAAGACAGTATAATTGTATTAAGCGATAACGAATGTGAAAGTATCGATGCAACGGACAAACATGTTTGCAAAGACAAGGGACAGACTGAAAAGAGATTTTTGAAAAAGTTAGACAACAACAATACAAATCGACCTTTAAAACGCAAAAAGTCCCATGTTCTTGTATGCTCGAAAAAAAGAAAATCTATTTTTCTATCGGATAACGAAGATTCTGATATAGCAGCGGTCGAGGTAGATGATGAAAACAGAGGTAAAAGAAGTACAATGTACATTATGTGTATATAACTACTAACTGGGGTTTGCATTTTTATCTGAATTTTTGTTTCTTCAGTGCCATTGGATTCTGTAAATCAGAGTACAGACGATGTTGTTGTAGTGTGGTCGTCTAAAAATGTAGCTTTGTCAGGTATTCCAACCAAAGATGGTACCATCGTCGACGAAGGAACGATGAAAGAAGGACTGGTAAATTTTGGAAAAGATAGGGAAGATAGCTTGGAGAGAGAAGATAAACATGAAGAAACTGGTAACCAGAAAAGAAAGGAAGGTGAAGCAGCAATGGTAAACGAGGAAGAAGAAAGCAATGAATTAGTTGTAAAAGAAATTACAGATGAGGAAAACGAAGCTGAGAAAACTATAAATCTAGACGAAGATAATAGACTTTTTATGATAGACTTCAATCCAGATCCAAAAAATCTTCACTGTTTGATAACCAAAAAGAAAAAGAAAAAGACGATAAAAAATAATAATGAAAGAGAAGCGTATATACACGATAATGATTTACTTTTCAACAAGAAAGGTTTGAAACTGCCACACTGTGCAAAAAATATAGAAGTTATAGTGACGACGGAAAGACGGAAATCGTTTTCTACGATATTGTCAAAATTAGAACAAAAGTCATCCGAGTTATATTCGGAAGATACGCAACCCGGTACATCGAGTACGCAAACTGTGGCTACGAACGATGTGTCATTAAATACTGTACTACGAGGACGTATAACATTTCCATTGACTGGTTTGAGAGAGATTGTTATCGATGGGAATAATGTAGCTATGGCGTAAGGCAATTTGTTTTCCAGTTCTTTTGAATACCGATGGATATATTCGTATTAATGAATAATATTGCTCTTTCGTCACTTTTCAGACATACAAATGGCAAAACATTTTCAGAAATTGGGTTAATGATAGTTATTAATTACTTCAGAGGTAGAGGACACCTGGTAAAAGTGTTTGTACCTCAATATAGAAGGTCGATAAATTGTCCACTGCTCGAAGAATGGTATACAGAAGGTATAGTAGTTTTTACACCCAGTAGATATATAGCTGGAAAATGGATAACTCCTTACGATGATCGGTAGGTTGCACGTATCTTACAATCTGTGCTCGCGTACATTTAACTTTTTTACGTATCTAATGTGTTGTTATTCATTTTCTTTAAGATACATAATACAGTATGCAACAATATGCAAAGGTATCGTAATTTCCTCGGATCAGTTCAGAGATCTGTACAAAGAAAAGCCAGAATGGCGCGATACGATTATAAATCGATTAATGGCTCCAACTTTTGTTGGTGACATAGTCATGTTTCCGGAAGATCCTTTAGGCAGAACAGGGCCCACGCTTGAACAATTTTTAAGGCACTAAATATGGGAAATTCAATTTATAGTAAGCAACAGATGAAAATAGAATGTAATGGTACACCGGTGGAAACTTTGTACAGTTAAGTTCTATAAACTTCTCTTGTGAAAACAGTTCATTATTAGAAAAAAGTACTTTTTTCTTGTATATTGTACAAACATACACATTTACGTATTATATGCTTATTCTTTACACGAGTGCGCCAAACATTCTCATGAAAGATGTTTTGACAAAATTTTCTACGACATTTATTTCCATAATTATTACTTTGTTGAACAAAATACGTAANTGATATAGCAGCGGTCGAGGTAGATGATGAAAACAGAGGTAAAAGAAGTACAATGTACATTATGTGTATATAACTACTAACTGGGGTTTGCATTTTTATCTGAATTTTTGTTTCTTCAGTGCCATTGGATTCTGTAAATCAGAGTACAGACGATGTTGTTGTAGTGTGGTCGTCTAAAAATGTAGCTTTGTCAGGTATTCCAACCAAAGATGGTACCATCGTCGACGAAGGAACGATGAAAGAAGGACTGGTAAATTTTGGAAAAGATAGGGAAGATAGCTTGGAGAGAGAAGATAAACATGAAGAAACTGGTAACCAGAAAAGAAAGGAAGGTGAAGCAGCAATGGTAAACGAGGAAGAAGAAAGCAATGAATTAGTTGTAAAAGAAATTACAGATGAGGAAAACGAAGCTGAGAAAACTATAAATCTAGACGAAGATAATAGACTTTTTATGATAGACTTCAATCCAGATCCAAAAAATCTTCACTGTTTGATAACCAAAAAGAAAAAGAAAAAGACGATAAAAAATAATAATGAAAGAGAAGCGTATATACACGATAATGATTTACTTTTCAACAAGAAAGGTTTGAAACTGCCACACTGTGCAAAAAATATAGAAGTTATAGTGACGACGGAAAGACGGAAATCGTTTTCTACGATATTGTCAAAATTAGAACAAAAGTCATCCGAGTTATATTCGGAAGATACGCAACCCGGTACATCGAGTACGCAAACTGTGGCTACGAACGATGTGTCATTAAATACTGTACTACGAGGACGTATAACATTTCCATTGACTGGTTTGAGAGAGATTGTTATCGATGGGAATAATGTAGCTATGGCGTAAGGCAATTTGTTTTCCAGTTCTTTTGAATACCGATGGATATATTCGTATTAATGAATAATATTGCTCTTTCGTCACTTTTCAGACATACAAATGGCAAAACATTTTCAGAAATTGGGTTAATGATAGTTATTAATTACTTCAGAGGTAGAGGACACCTGGTAAAAGTGTTTGTACCTCAATATAGAAGGTCGATAAATTGTCCACTGCTCGAAGAATGGTATACAGAAGGTATAGTAGTTTTTACACCCAGTAGATATATAGCTGGAAAATGGATAACTCCTTACGATGATCGGTAGGTTGCACGTATCTTACAATCTGTGCTCGCGTACATTTAACTTTTTTACGTATCTAATGTGTTGTTATTCATTTTCTTTAAGATACATAATACAGTATGCAACAATATGCAAAGGTATCGTAATTTCCTCGGATCAGTTCAGAGATCTGTACAAAGAAAAGCCAGAATGGCGCGATACGATTATAAATCGATTAATGGCTCCAACTTTTGTTGGTGACATAGTCATGTTTCCGGAAGATCCTTTAGGCAGAACAGGGCCCACGCTTGAACAATTTTTAAGGCACTAAATATGGGAAATTCAATTTATAGTAAGCAACAGATGAAAATAGAATGTAATGGTACACCGGTGGAAACTTTGTACAGTTAAGTTCTATAAACTTCTCTTGTGAAAACAGTTCATTATTAGAAAAAAGTACTTTTTTCTTGTATATTGTACAAACATACACATTTACGTATTATATGCTTATTCTTTACACGAGTGCGCCAAACATTCTCATGAAAGATGTTTTGACAAAATTTTCTACGACATTTATTTCCATAATTATTACTTTGTTGAACAAAATACGTAANTATAAAACGTAATTTAAATTATTACATTACATGTGCATTAAGTAATTTAAACAATCGAACAAGGATTTATTTTCATTATCAATTTATTTATATATTACTACTTTTTCATTGTATTCTTATTTATTGTTCAAGCTAACTGTATCCGAGATATTTACGCTATCTCGCCTAAAGAAAACTATTTTAAATAAAATACCATTACTGAAAGTTACCTCTACTGAATCATTGAAGTGACTGGTAAGTATCAAACGTAGAAAAATAGTTCTGTGCTTAAATAATTACTTTCCATGTAGTTATATTGTTTTTCGAATTACAAAAAAAAGGAAAAATATACATATATCATAAAATCTAAATACCTTATATTAATTTTGATTATAATCATACATGGAATACTTATAAAACAAAATGTTTTCTTATTTAGTTACTTGTACTGATCGGTAAATTGAAGATTATAAAATAAGTAAAAAAAATAAAAAAAAAGAGACTCGACCTTTGGCGAAAAATTCCATTAGAATTGAAATGCTAACTATACTACATATGACTTATATGCGGTAACAAATAATCAGTCATCGATTGAGAGTGAAGAATCCCACGTGGGTCTCGAACACCATTTCCGAGATTTGCGTATATTATCCATACTCTCTTGAGCAGTTTCTCGAGCTAAACGTTGAATTGGATTGTTACTCGTATTGTACACTGAATTCGACAGAACTGATTCATGTTGAAAAGCAGATGTAACATCTAAAAAATATTCCATGCAATTTATTATTGCTTAAAATATTATTATTATTTAATATTCAAACTACCATAAAAAATCTAATTACTTGCTTTAGCGAACAATTTTTCCAGCACATACTGGTCATCTTGGGACGATTTAATTTTATTGTCATCGGACCGTCCAAGGCGACGGCCGATCAAGTGTGAGACACGTTCTCCTTCAAACATGGCAGATACCTCACTGTCTTTTGTTGAAAAACTTTTATTCTTGCGATTGTGTTTACGATGAGATCTACTTGTTTTTAATTTCGTATCTCCGCTATTTTTCAAAGAAATCGTCTTGTTTTGTTTATCGGATGTTACCGAAGCTTTAACTGTATTGGTATCATTGGCTGAAGAACTTGGCACAGTTGTTTCACTTTCTACCAAGACTGATCGAGTATCAGGATCTATACGGTTTATTTGATTTCGTTTGTTGGCATTACAATCTGTTGTATCGTTCGTTGTCGATACAGTGTCTTCGTTAATACCTATAGTATTAATTTCATCTTTTTGTTCATGAAATTGACTTCCAGTTACAATATTCTTTACTATTGCACTATCATTAAGTAAGCGATTATCATTTGTCAAATCAACTTGGTCATTGTCATTATTATTATTACTTTGAACACAATTGTTCTCTGATGCAGCGATGCTACGCGTTATAGATACAGAATTAATGGTTTTTTGTGTTATACTTTTACTAAGGGTAGCTGCCAATTTTCGCATTTTTTCAATCTTACTTGTTGAAAATTTAGCGATTGTTGGTGTTAATTTCGATTCTCGAAACAACTGATCGGATTCGCTCGAATGTCCGTCAATGGACTCGTTCAAATTAAAGAGCTCGACCAAGTCGGAAGTTTTAAATAGTCTTCGTTGACGAGGGTCTTCCAAAACTTTATTGGAAAGAAGTAGCTTGTATATTTGTCGGTGGTATATCTAAACACACGAAGACGAGAATAGAATCACTTTAAAGAAGCCAACAACTCCAAAAGTGGTCGGACAACACTTTCAAACTTCCATTACCTTACCTTTTCCTCTATAGTACCGGCTGTAATAAGTCTGTAGATAGTGACTCTTTTATTTTGTCCTATTCTCCAAGCGCGTTCTCTTGCTTGAGCATCTGTTGCTGGATTCCAGTCAGGATCGTAAATAATAACTCGATCCGCACCAGTTAAATTCACGCCTAATCCTCCAACACGAGTAGTTAATAAAAATATAAAGTACGATGAATCCTAAAATCGAGTAAAAGAAACGGAAAGGAAGGGTAAAAATATTACACGCGCGTTTCATTAACGTACGTACGTACATACATTGTTAAATAAACTGATTGTTTCTTGCCGCTGCGACATGGGAGTAGTTCCATCCATTCTCAAATATTTATATTCGTCGTTTTGTACCAAAGACTCTAATACGTGCATCATCTATAAATAAAATGAATAAGACAACAGTTTCGATATACCAGTCTTTTGTCGAATAAAATTTTGCATTATTTTTGCTAATAGTAAATACTTGTCTTCCTTGGGTGAACAGTAGTACTCTGTGATTCTGTTTTTTCCAAATTTTAAGAAGCGATCGAACCACAGTCATTTTTCCAGAACGTCTCCAACAGCCGAATTTCCTCAACGATTCCTCCGATGAGTCAACCTCTTCATCGGATTCCTATAAATATGTGTTTCATTTTATACAGCGTTCGTTAAGAGATTTCAATAGTATAACATTAAGGTCTTACGATCGGGCTCGAAAATAAGAACAAATCAGGGTGATTACATATTTTTCTGAGCGCTGACAACGCTATTAGTAATCGAGCTTTGTATCTACCGCCCTCCGCGTGATTTTTTTCATGTAAAATAAAGGAGACATCCTCGGAGCTTAAGTAACTTTTGTACAATTTCTTCTGTTCCTCCGTTAGACTGCAGAATAATACCTTGAGTATATAATATTGTATTCTTAATATCTCTGAATAGAATCATGATAGTATTATTTATTTGCGTTCATCCGATGCAGCAGATACCTGCTCATTTTTTTCTGGTAATGTCACATGATGTTGAACATCGTTTTTTGTTCTTCTAAGCATATATGGTGTAATTGCATCTTTGAGCATCGTAGCAATTTGAAGCGCGGTAGCCTCTTGAAGAGGACTAGCGTTTACGTATCCTCCTCGTGTTATCGGGCTGACGCAGTGTTCTACAAATGCGGGTAAAGTACCTAACTTGCCTGGTAAAATGAAGTCAAAAAGGGACCACAATTCTTTCAGAGAGTTCTGCATTGGACTGCCAGTTAGTAACAGACGATGCGGAGTAGAGAATTCTTTTACCGCTTTACTGACCTGAAAATCATCATAGATCATAATTCGGACGTTTCCTTTTGAAATTAGAATGTTCATTAGAATTGTGGAAATTCGATCTAGCTACGAATTCGGTCTAAAGTACTTTTGCCTGTGGATTTCTTATTTTGTGCCCTTCGTCGAGAATCAAATAGTGCCATTGATTAGCTGCAAGTAAATCTTTATGGTTGAGTATTCCGGAATAAGAGGTAATCAAAATGCCACCGGATTTCAAGGAATGTATTAGATATCCCAAGTCACCTATAATAAGGGTACTCATTATGTATTAGATTGGGGGGACGGTGTTTCCACTGGCTCTGTTACAAAGCAATATCTCTGTTAACGATACTCTCGCGTGAACACTCAAGATCGCCTAAAGGTGATCGTATTACAAGTGATTTGATTCGTCTTGATCTTATCGTTAACGTTAACGAAGATGTTGCTTTGAAACAGGGTTAGTGAAACAACCGTATACAAATTAGAGTACTAAGATCACGTTTGATTTTGTTTGTAATTTCAACAGACCGTTGTACGTTCCAGATTGGTGTAAAACAACTACCCTCAAAATAGGCCACCATTCATGAAAATGCTTTACCCATTGTTCCATCAATGTAGCTGGGCAGACAATTATGCTGGGTCCTAATCCTCGAAATCTATTAAGAAGGGCGCATTGCACGTTACTAATATTGTAAACGATAAAGTGTGACAGTGATAGCTTGTGTAATGCTTATTTATGTTTACCTTCCACCATCGGAAAGTAATTCGCTACAATCCAAGCCTGCAAGAAATGCAATAATTTGTACAGTTTTTCCCAGTCCCATTTCGTCTCCTAATAAACCTCCTAGATCACGACAATGAAGTTCCCATAACCATTGTACAGATACTCTTTGATATCTGAAAATAATTGGAAGAATTCAAGTAAGAGCTTTAACATTTGACAGGTATTTTACTTGAAGGTTGGTTTCGCGCAATACTTGTATAATCTTTTCCATATAGATTGTGGAACTTTAAATAAATTATCTATCTCGTGCAACGGTTCCGATCTTGCATGTCCATTTTCTTCAACCCTTTGCCTGTATATTTGTTCGTCTCCGTCGTCCAAAACTAAAATATAATATTCGCGTCAATAGATACACTTATTACATTTTATAATACAAAAATAATATACATTTTATATGTACATTTTATAATACAAAATACGAACCCTTGTTTCTCTGGGTAGACTTTGCGGCTGTTTTCTTCTTCTTTCGAGATGGTCCCGATTCGTCTTCTGGAAATGAAATCTCAAATATTAAGAATTTCAACATGTACAGGTCTTTTCCTTGATTTCATATTTACCCGATTCGATCTGTTCATCACTCGGAACATACTCGCTATCGGAGTCACATTTTATATCCGCAGGGTCAGCATTATCTATATTTGCAACAAATTCATCTGTACAATTCTTTTCCTTTACATCGTTCGTTCTATCTGCGCAATTATAACTTTGATTGAAATCTTTGGCTTTTGTAGCTTTCAAGTCTAATTTTCTCTTAACAGTTTTGGATTTGAGCTGCTCCCCAAATTTGCATTCCTTGGAGTTAACATTGGATAGCTTTAAGTTTTTTAAGGGAACCGTTCGATCGACGTTATTAGATGTTTTTGTCTTTCCTTTTAATTCTTTTCTCTGTTTGGCAAGCTCGGCTTGTTGCCGCAAGTACTTGTCAAGATCGAGCAGGTGAAAAGATTTAAATGACCTAAAATATAAATCATTTAGATATTATTACATCGAATTACATTACTTTAAACCTCTCTACGTACTCTTTAGTTTTCAAAGAGTCAGATCGGTTCGAGATTGCTTGAAACGGAGTTATGTCTCCAGACAAAACTTGTTTCTGCAGTTCCGCTTGTCGCAAATTATCTACATTGGTCTCATTGTTTTTGTTTACATTTAATTTCTCCGATTCTCCCAAACGTGGTACATTAGTATCGCATCTTTGCAAATTTGCTTTCACGATACTTTCAATTTCTTTTGTTGCTTTAAAAATAATACTTTGTTCAGTTCTGATGGACAAAACCTAAAATCATTCGGCAATAGTGAAATATAGAACGAGAGCGTGGCGGCTCTGACAGTGATAAGAAAATTGAAAGAAAAGTATGTACTGGTAACATAAACACAGAGATGTTGGTGTACAACTCCTAACCTTCGAGACATTTTGAATTTCATTGTCATTTGTGTCGTTAGCTTTTTCAAAATCTTGATCATCGTTCTCCATGATTGTGTGTACGCATATATGGGTCCCGTTAAAAGGATTAACGAACACTATGCAATGCGTTCCGACATATGCATTCTTATTCGAAAATATTCGTTTCACCGACGGCGTGACAACGTATTCAATGGTGCAAAAGTTATTATGTATTATGTACAACAACGTTGTACACACTAACCATGCAACATCTTCCTTCAAATTACAAATTGAATCCAGTTTCGTTGTCGCAACGCGACTTTGAAAAAGAATATGTACATACAATCATAATGTTCCAATTGCTGAGTTAAAAGCGACGTTGGCACTTCTCTCTTTTTATTTACAAATATATTATACATATTATGTACTACAGTTTTTATATTGCAAGATTATCAGGATCAGATCCCACTCCTGCACACTCGAGCTTGATTCGTTAGCGAGGGTCCACATAGAAATTTTGTTGTTCCGATTGGCTGACAATTCACTGCTGAAACAGGATCCATTGTGAATTGGATGTGCAGTAAAGTGGTGGGAATGTGTACGCCAGCTTAGGGAATAAGAAAATCGTACATGAGTAGATCCCATTACTGTATTTACAAGAGGAGGTATGCAGGGGTTACATGCTAGAGTGCACAAACGCTCAAACTATACGCGCTACGCGAAGATTTGTTGGCACGATAGAAGAATTAGAAAACGCTGCATTTTCAGCTTTTTTATCCGAGTCCATGACGAAAATTTAAAAAGTACGCTGTTGTAGATCTTATAACTACTATGATAACTTATATGCATGCTGAGAGAATTTCTCATCGAAATTGGTAAGCGCGGAGTCGAGTTACAAGCGTTGAAAGATTTAAAAACCTGCAGATTTCTATCAGTCATTGGTCGAAAGTGTAGATAAATCGGGAGAAAACCATGATTTTTGAGATGTTTAATTGTTTATAGCCGATTTCGATGGAATTTTCAGCACGCGAGGAAGCTACTAGCTCCCCCCTCGGTAAATGTAACGGGTAATTAAATTATATGTATGTATGTATGTATGTATGTATGTACACCTGTAGACATATCTGTTCTTAGTATGCATGTCTAACGATAAATATATTACGGGAATGAAAGGAAATAGTTCGAGACAATCGTACACATATGTATATGATTTTTCTTTTATTTCATGAAATGTCACCAAGGGTGGCTAACATAAGAGCCAGCTTATCTTATATAAAAATATGTATATAACGAATATGTATGTACAAACGTAATTGTTTGAAATTTCATTCGAAGGAAATTGTGATTCACCGCAGGAAGTGGACAGAATGTAATCTTTACGCGTTAAAATGTTGTAATATTTCCAGAAAAGATTGCTTTCGAAACGATGGGGAATGTAGAACTAAACGACAAGAATATTTAGACCCATACCCATCTGTGAGTGACGCTTTCGAAAGCGAAACAATCCGGGTGTCCCATGTGTGAAATATTAGGAAACTTTTCCGACCATTTGAAAGGTGGTCTCGATCGTTGCGTCGTTGGTCCTGCAATTGTTTCGAAAGCTTCATGACCGTCGCTATCGACGGTTAAAATTTTGCTATCTACGATACCGTATGGTACCGGCTCAATTTCCAAATCGCCGCGGTACACTAATTCCTGCAGTGGATCGAGTTTGGAATTTTGTGTCTCGGTAGCGCAATCATCCTGGCTGCATCCACGCATCGTGTTACGAAATTGCTCGTACGAGCTGATGTTCTTTTGTAAACGCGCGAAATGATCGTTCCAGTCGTCGTTTATATCCTTTCCGACGGGTCGTACGATGTCGTTGACATCCGGGAAATTCGATATACCGGTGTAAGATAGGTAACCGGCTTCCTTGAACTCCTCGGTATAATTCATAGCGACGGTCAAGCTCGGTAGCTGCTCCACCAACAGCATGACCGAAGAACGCGGTTCATAGATGACCCACTGGAACGCGGAAGCTCCCCCGTTTTGATGAGATATACATTCGAACCACGATTGCCCGCTCGTTGCTAAACGATGCGCCGCCATTAATCTCGCCGATAGCATCACCTGAAACACATTATCGTACAATTCGGAAGAATCGTCGAGTAGTAAGATAATAATTCGACTGCAGATCTTTACGTGGATTCGTTCTTTCTATCTCAAACAGTTTCGAACTCTTTGAATTTGTCTACATTTGTCTACGTTCGAAACATACATACATAGATACGTATACCGTCGTATCGATATATAGTCCATGATAAAATCCGCAGTCTGGTAATTATTAGTCATACATGATCCGCTGGGTACAAGAAGCTCCATTTGCCGTAGTTTGTCGCCAAAAGAGATGTCCCGGTCACAACAAATTTACGGTCTTGACCATGCATCGAATAAAACTCGTCGCCGGACGACAAAGCTCCAGGATAAGATGACATTACGATCGATCGCGAAGGTGTTGGTGCGGCAGTTTTCGTGGCAGGCAACACGTGATATCCGAACGTGTATTTCTTCAACAGTTTCAACATTTTGGCGTAGCTGCGGGTAAAACAGATTGAACAGCGATTAAATGAAATAGCTAAGAAGATCGTACGGTCGAAGGAGACGAAACGTTCTTCGTATAGTATACGTATACGTATGTATCGTGTATCACACAGTTGTTCCCACGATGTTCGACGTTGTCCTTGCCGCATGAACATAGAGAAGATTTATCGTTTCGATCGGGAAACAAAGAGACGCGTATTTGCGAGTCGAATCATTTATTACTTACGAGGTAGCAGTGTTGTGACCGATCGCGATCAACGGTTCCGACTTGTCCCGCGGTAATGATTTCAAGTAGATCATAGAGCTCAGGGGTAGGTTCGATACGTTGTACAGCCGCTGGAAACCGGGCATGTCGGAAGCCAGGGCGAGCCAAAGAAAATCGTCGGAATCCAACGATACGGACACGCGGCTTCTGCGTACGGCGAACTTCCAGCCAGCTTCCAAACCGTCCAATTGCATGTAAAATAATCGTATCTGTAGGAATAACAGCAGCGTTAACTTTAACACGTATACCGAATCGTGGTGTACGGTTGAAAATCTACGCGTACCATATGCCAAAAAGGATCCGTGGAGCTCAACAGTTCGACGCGTTGGCGAATCATGATGGTATTTTCCCGAAGGTATTGCGACAACTTTCGGCACTCGGCAAATTTTTCCTCGCATGCCGCCCTGACGGTGTTGTACCAATGATGATGGATCAATTGCCAAGTCAGGCTGCCTTCCAATAGACCGGCGGCGTAGGCCTGTACGGTATCCGGGTACTTCGAAGACGTTTCAATTTCGATGTAGGACCACCTAAAACATTATCGTCGCCGTTTATTTATTTATTTATTTATTTATTGCTATTCGTTGCAACGGTCGAGCCGTTAGGACGGATAATATTTCGTCGTTGTCGCGATTTAGACTCACCCGTGTTCGAAAATTCCAGTTTTATAATAAGCACGGGCAGCGTGCAACGGCACTGCGGTTAAATCGTTGCCTTGGCCCCAGAAGTCGATGCGGTAGCCACCTTTTCGATTCCACGACACGGTAGCCGAATAAGTGCCATCTTGTTCAACGCTATCGAAGGGGAGTAAGATACAGAAACATCGTTATCGTATTTCGTTGGTCTTTTGTTTCGGTAACGAAGCGGAGGGTAATAAAGCGTCGCGTTATTGGTTCGGGAAAATCGTTCGAGGCAAGGTATAGGTGCCACTTTGTGAATAAACTCTTGAATTGACCCGAGAGCAGGAATACAAGAAGATATTACCGAACGGGTTATTGTGTACCCGGCTACCCGGTCGCGGCTCGCGATCAGCGACACGATCGCTACCGATTCGGGCAATTACGAAGCAATGCTTACTGTCCAAACTCGCCGAGTATTATCGCTCCAATTCCCAGGAGAGCAACGGCGACGAGGATGTAGGTGGAGATACGTGTCTGCAGCCAGGAGGCTCCTACTACCTTCAGCATGGCTCATCGGTAAGCTATACACACACCTTGGTTACAACGTGAGAAAGAAAAAGCTAGAAAGCACGAATTTCTCGTTCTCAACCCATCGATTACAGAAGCCTGGTCTTCGACCTCTTCGGGCGCTCGAAAAAACGCCGGTGCGAACTTCTCCCGTGGTCACTGAAACGATCAAACGAACGATAATTAACGCGCGAACGGCTGTATATATTTTATACGATTTGTATCGAGATGTTCTCGTTCCAAATCCGTCGCTCGAAGGTTTCGATTCGAGTTGCACTCGACCTCGTCCACTCTGCCGCGGGCCGTTTCGATTCGGCTCGATTCATCTCGTTTCGATTCGAACACAACGACGGTCCAGCGTGCCTTGGATCGTTGAACGAGTCAAGGACGAATCGAATGCGCGTATCAATGAAAAATCAAGCTCGATCTTGCTCCGATCGGGCTGACACTGCCAACACCTGATTTCCGTACCGGCGCGGCGCTTTCGAACCTATACGTACACGCATATGTAGCAGCCTTAAACCGCTCTCTGCATAGGAACGAGACGGATCGGTGAAATCGTCTATCATCCATCGTCCAACGTTAGTTTATAGGCTATCGTCGACGAACAGCCGACCGGGAACGGAGGCGAAGGCGAAGGTCGGATTCTTGTCAGCGACAATATTTGACAGCCGCGATTACACTCGTATCGCCGAATAATTTATCCGCTATGTCGCTATCGATGCTAAAACAAATTCCTGACTCGAGGAAAATCTCTCTATCGGGAAACTATTCGCTACTATCCGTTACTCGCACCATCGCCGTCGCCATCACCACCAACGATAGAAAAGTCAAACGATACGCTGACGGACGAACGGGTCACAGCTTTTCCACTGGTGTTTATAATTACATGCGATTAGCTCCTTCAATTATCGTCTATTTACCGATAATAAATTGAGCAATCGTATGCCATTTGTAAAGCGTTAATTGAAAAAATTGTCGTCGAATGCCGTTCAAGACGTGTTGCGCAGACTTAGGCCTGTATGCACCTGAGATTACGAAGTACGTGCTAAAATACAAATTCTCGGACATGCAGTGCCTCGAAGATTCGGTTAAAAAAAGGAACGCGTTGTAAAAACGAATGCGATATTTACATAAATATGTATGCCGAATATCGATCGCAGTCAACGGCGATGTTCGAAGAGAACATTCGATTTGTAACTCTGTTTAATTTTAGCAGTGCTAAATCATTGACTATTTCAAGGTTGAAAATTTAAAGACGGTTAGCTGTCGAACGAACGACGATTTGGAGCAATTGTTTTTCCGGGTTTTGGTTGTCGAGTATTTCGAGAATTTACTCTGTGTTGCTCTTGTCGAAAGAATGAAAACAAAAGAAAAGAACAGAAAAGAAAGAAAAAAAGGAAAAGGAAAAGAAATTTCAACGTGTTCTCATCTCACGGTGCTATAAGAATAGACTGGGCGTAATGTGTCTGGCGACAACCTAAAAATACCATCCCACAGTTGTGGCTTGTGACATCAAGGGACGACACTTTCCATAGAAATTCGCGGAAGCGCGTTGCACTTTTCGCAACGAGTTTGTTATCGTCGAGGGTTTGTTATACCTGAAGCAAATTATTGCGGAAAAAACGAAAGACTTCGTGGAACGCGCTCGCATCGGAGTATCGAAACGTTGTCGAAAAGATAACGCGTCGTTCGAAATCCGCTTTCTTGAAAAGTGCTTATCGTTGTTATTATCGACAATGAGGTCTATAGAATTCAAAAAATTACATTTAACAAGAACAAAAATACAAATTAAAGTAACGAGAGTCGGTTCGATTTCACGTTTCCGTAAGACCGGAAAGCGATCGTTTTGTTCGGGCGTGATTTTGCAGCGAGGGGAACGATGTCTCGATTAACCTATTCGTATTAGCTTCGTGTTATTACTTTTGTAAACTATTTGTAAATTAAACTATTTGTCGATTAAATCGCGTAGAAATCCAAAGTTATTAAGCCGAAGTACTTGGAAAGTACGATAATACAATATACAATGAACACATACACACACAACGAAAATGTCTTGCACGAGAAAAAACTAGAAAATAAATGTACCAATCTTGTTGAAATATCGCGGTACGTATACGTTGAGAAACACGCGACAGCTCTAAATACCTAATTACTTGTATCGGAAGTGCACCACGTGATTTCGCTTGATCCAGCAGACGCAAATGCATCGCGATCTCTCCCGTCTTTTCGCCGCTGATTAAATATTAATATCGCATCGAGTACGAGACGCATAGATTTCCGAGTGAAATTATACATAGAGCAAAGCGTATGGGATTTCGTACTTAAAGGCTCGATGTATTAAAAATGTATTCCCTCGTTGGCTCGACCGATCTTCTATCGAAGCATGTAACGAGAGACCCCGACGATTCGCGATCAATTTGATCGAGCATAAAAATCAAAATGGAAACGACGTTTCGACAAAATGGTGTAGATCGGATTCTGTGGTTTACACGCTTCCGTTCGAAAACGTGTAAATAGAACGACAAAGCATCCGATGAAAAGAATAACCGAGAACGCGGTGATCGCTAGACGCGACTTCGCGCCGTTCCGCATCGGAGTTCGATGGCTCGTTCCTCGTTTCTCGTTTGTCATCGAGAGACGCCACACACAACACACACACACACACGCGCGCGCACGCACACACGCACCGTTACTCACCGTAGCCAAATAGTAGTTGGTATTGGAAAGCGTCGTACACGGGCAGAAGATCGGTCATTCGTATGGAGATTACATTCCTTTGATGTGAGTTTTTGTAGCGTGTTTACCGTGGAGACGTGGCCCAGTTGCTCCTACTGAAATTGAGACGCGGCACTTGGTACAATGCTGTTTCCCGACTGGCACGGGCACGGCACGTTGTACCGAGCCACGCCGAACGGAACGATCTCGCGCGGTCACATCGTTGCACCTTCCCTTTCCATGCTACGTTCTCGCCAACCAGCATCGTTGTCCTTTATCGTGACGTCGACGTCGTCGGCAGTCGCCTGCAGTCGCCAGTAGTCGCCAGTAGTCGCCAGTGGCGAATCGCGACTATGCGTACAGGACATTATAAGCGGCTAGGTATACATACATCCTAGGTACAGTCGTGGCAGAGTCTATAAAATCTAGGTACATATATACGTATAGGATCTTATAGAGCCCATAGAATTTGTAACGCGATAGATCGAAGCCCGTGTGCTCCGATACGTTGTCTGTACCAACGATCGTACCCAACCCTTTAGGACACGAATAAAAAACAGGCTTCCCCTGCTTCGCTTATTTTTTATCCAACAATCGTTTGTATATTCCATTGCAGTAGAGTTGTTTACTTTGTATCAGCTACGCGGTTCTACGGGAATACCTAAGACAGTGTTTGGCGCTCCGACTTAATCGGTTCTAATTGGATCTAATTGAAAATTTTAGTCGCTCGGACTTGGCGGCTCGCGAAGCCTGCGCGCGTGCTTTCTACTCAACGAAATTACAGAAAAGCAAAATGAAAAGAAAACGACAAGAATTTTCGAAATCGATCTACCAAGTGGAATCGATTAGCATAATGCTCGCGACGATCGTCGTCGATGCATCGTTGATCGGAGAACGAACGTGCGCCCGGACTCTGTGAAACATGTACATACGTATAAGAAATCGCCGATACGATAAGTTGCGTGTTCGCGTGTCACGATCGATTCGTATCGATGACGTAAGACTTCTGTGTCGTATAGCTAGAATTATCGCAAAGCTTTCTTCTCGCACTCGTTCGTATTCTACATACGTATTCGTTGTTGCGCCGATTTTTGTCGTCCGGACCACAGCGGATCCAACGATAAGCCGCAAAAGCTATACGAGCGGTACATTCTACGTACATACAACGGAATGTACATATTTGTCCGACCGTATTGGTAGCTTTCCACGAGAGCGAACGAATCGGATGACACGCGTGCTCGTATCTAGAAAACTATCTCACCGAGAAAGACGCGATTTTCATGGTGCTTCGAAATACTGATTCGAAACGTCGAGACGCTTCGGAAGAGCGACGCGCTCGCGAGCGCGAGACGAGTGCGCGGCGTGGGGGAGTCGTCAACCTTTTGTCGTACGAAGATCGTACTCGACCTTTGGCTCGCGAAACTCTTATCTTTGTTCGTTCATAGAACGATTATCGCTCCGCTACCGTGAACCGATTCGTTTCGATGCCTTACGATCGAATCGAAACAGACTTGACGCGATCTCGCCGATAATATTAACATTAAAATCAACATTCTGTAGCGAAGTTGTGATCCGGATCTTTCCGAAATGTTTCGCACGGTGTAACAGCACAACGGTCTAAAGATGTAGAAACGTAAAATTGTAAAAGTATAAAAGCGTAAAAGCGTAAAAGCGTAAAAGCATAACCAACGATCGCGTAAGATACGCTTTTCGATGCATCGAAGTAGACGGATTCGAATTTTGTCGAACTTTTCTATATCCTCGTAGATATACGCGTATACGCGCGTAATTAGATTAGTCGGAAGACGGACGATTTTGCGAATCGCGATGACGAGATAAGATTAGCGGTTGCTCGGTGAGTAATAACGCGGTTCGCGCGATGGCGCTTCCGATCGTGTCTCCTATCGCAGCGAAGCGACTTGCGGATTGCGTAATAGAAGCGCCGAGACGCCTCGGGACAATCGTTTACAGGTCGATTAAAATTTCTAATCGAGTCCGACCCGACTCGGCCGACATCCGACATCCGACATCCGACTCCTCGACGCTTCCCTTTTCGCCGCCAGCGAAAATCATCGGCTAATCGACTGGCCGCACCCCGATCGCGAACGTCGAGTTATCTCGCACGCTACCGCGTCAACAATTTACCGAGAAACCTGTAACGAAATGTTGCAACGAAAATGTTGCTCGATCGCGAAGAACATGAATCCGTTTCATGATTTGCGACCATTCCTTCGCACTTCGCGGCGTTGCGTAACACGCAACGCCCGACCAATGTCGAGCACGCGCTAGAACGTACGGCAAATGCAAATGTATATGCACGCATGTACGTACATGTACGTTTATCTATGTATACATGTGTATAGAATATATGTACATGTATAGGTGTATACGTATACGATGTATACGTATTACATGCGTATATGTATACATAGATTGTACGTACATAACGTTGTAGATAATGCGCGTACGTACATGCATGCGCCTTTCGAGCAATTAGAATTTCGCCACCCTCGACGATACGAGGATGTTACGGACATTTTCTCGTCGATTCGTTTCAAGAAGTGTCTCGATAGAAGTTTGCGGAAAAGGAGACACGATTGTTCGAGCCTTGCGGCTCGTTTTTACAGTCGCCGATTAATAATCGTATATATATATATAGATAATCGTATCTCCCCTTTCCCAAATTGTCCATATTTGTTTAGGAGCTGACGGATGACCGAAATAACGAGACCACCGCTTGCGCTTCGTCCGATCGTCGCTGCTCCGGCATTGCTCTGGAGAATGGCTGGTACACGTATCTGTCGGCACGTTTCTAAACTCGCTGGTCCGTGGGAGCAACGGGCTACTATTCCGTTTCACACGACCAACCCCTAGCTACCAAACCCATTGCCGCATTCGTTGGTTCCGAGGGTCGAAGATTCGCTCGATTCTCTTCTCGTCCTCCGAAAGAGAGGAGACGGGTGAACGATGAATTACCACATTTCTCGCAGGGCTAAACGGTGGAACGTTCGCTTCGAAGAAAACCTGGGCTTGCATAGGGTCCGAAAGACGAGCAATATTATCGAAGATACCCAACCAGAGTCTACAGGTGTACGATTTGACACGCATGCCCATGGTTACCCGTTACGTTAAAATCATCGACAGGTCGTACCGACGTCGTAGACAGAAATGTAACGAAATATTTGGAAGACGCCATTATTTTCAGGACACCGTGAAATTTTGTTGTTCGCTGTTGTAGAAATGGCAGGGTACCGTAGAAATCTACCTTAGATTTTCGCTTTCCACACTAACGTAAGAACAAAAACAATCATCGAGTTTCTATTCGGATTTGCGCAATATTAAAATATTATCATTAACGGCTTTGGGTACGACGTCGTTGTCTCGAAGATACGTATACGTACATACTTATCGCGGCGCGGCGCCAAACAGTTGTTTAGCTTTTCTTCGATACATCGTTATTCGTGCTTGCCGTATGTCCTGTTGGTTGATTTTCTCAAAGATCGAAATTTTCATCGGAAATCGCGCGTTTCCAATGAATTTATGAGAGAAAACATTTTCGTTGAATTTGTCGACAAGTTTGAAGAAATAATAAAGCGATGCGAGGTAACCTGTAAGGAAAGAAGACGATATCGTCGATCCAATTGATTTTGAAATAGACAGCTCGTGGTTTTCGTGGCACACGTAGTGGCGGGTGGCGATCGTAGCCGTTAAATGGAGCGCGCGTCGGGAAAATTGCGATCGCAATAAGAGCCGTGGAATTTCTTGATTGTGGCTCGGACGGCGAGGCACGTGCCACGAACGGAATGCAATACGCGCCCCCTGGTATTCGATCATCAAGACGATCGCTGAATGCTTCGGCATTTTTCTGTGCTCGTGTTTCGCGCGACCGTCGTTTCGTCGTTGAAATGCTACGAAAAATTCGAATTTAACCGCGTCTCTCTCCCATAAATGCGAACAGTTTGTAAAAATCGAACTCGTTCTGTGACAAAGAAAGACGCGATCGAGATCGGAGAATACGTTGTCCGTTCTACTTTACTCGCTTTCGGAACAGGTTGTACCAGGTTGTACATTTTCCAACGACGGATCAACGATATTTCGATCTATCGAAAACTGACAACTTCGACGTAACAACTTTCGAACGTGATTGCAAAAGAAATCGATTCCTTGAAAACGATTGGACCAGCTACCAATGTCGCGAACTAAAACCGCAAATCGAAGCGACCTCGATCGTTGTGTGATCTCTCGGTTCGAGTTAGATTACACGTGTTCGGGTAGTATTTAAGTTGGAAAGATTTTGTTGTACCATCGTTCGAGAGTGGACGACGTTCGATAACGGAAGCAATCGTTCGTATTCCTTTCTAAACTGTCGTTTCGATGAGATGTATTTACTATATGTATATATCGTTTGTTCTCTTGAAATTGAAACGCTTACCTAAACGCCATGGCGCGTGCGTATACGAGGAACGAGGAGTATAAAATAGCGGTAAATAGCCTCCGACAGCTCTGACTTTTTTTGATCTAGCTTGAAAACAGGAGCGTCCCTCGTAGCGCTTCTTCGGTTGCGCAAAGGTTCGAAATCCGTGCGCAACCGAACGGCCGTACGTGCGCGCACGCGCGCGTATCCACGCGACGCGGAGACGAGGTACGAGCTAGTTTTGCGCACGCGTGCCGCAGGAAATCGGCGGCAAAGCATGCCCGTACGAAACTCGGGAAATTTCTCACCGAGCGGATTCTCGATCCGCTCTGTTCCTCTCAGTAGAAATCAGCGGCCAACGGGTGGAACACCATCGAGATATCGGTGCAAGTATAAAACCGATATATCCGTGCATCGCTCTGGACCTTCGTTCCGCCTTTTTTCTCTCCAACGTCTCGTTCTTCTCGACGATGTATCATCACCTGTACCACCTGGTTCTTTTTACGGTCCTGAGCACCGGCTCGGGTTCGTCGTGGCACGATCGTCGGTACAATTCGCAAAGTGACACGGGAGAGATCGATTTAGCGAGCATCGTCCATACCACTCCTCTCGGACCGGAAGCCACCTTTCATTGGAGGTACACACGATTTCAAATCGAATCTTTCTTTAGAGATTATCCAACACGAATCTGTTTTCGACGGTCGAACGCTTTAGGGTCGATTTCACGAGCGAATCGATCGTCGCGGAAGTCCACTTCGTAGACGCGGGCAACGCGTGGTTCGCCATTGGCTTTTCGAATTACGGGGAATCGAAGCCCGCCGATTATTGCATCTTATGGATCGATTGGCATCGTCGAATTCGATTACAGGTACCCCCTACCCTTTCCTCGAGAATACTGTGAAAACTATTCCGGTATATTAGCTGCGCTCCGACGTAGAGAAATCAAGATACGTGTTTGTTAGGACGCGTGGGCCGACGAAGAGGGCAAATTGAATTTGGATACGCAGCAGGACTGCGAAAATTTCGCCTGGAGAAGAAGAGGGAACGTTACCAAGTTCACTTTCTCCAGAAAATTCGACACATGCGATGAAAACGACTATGTCATGGAGGTGCTTTCAATCGATACACGGACGTTCCCGTTCTTCGATTTTCTTATTTTCCTCTTACTTTTCACACACTCCAGCCGTATCGTATACGCATTCGTATAATATTCTTTTTTCATTTGGCTTCGTAACCGAAGCGAATCGTATCGCGATAACCGATTTCAGAGAGGCACCACGCATTTGGTATGGCTAAGGGGTATCGGCCCGCTGTCGTCTTTGGCCGGTCTGCGGATCTCGGACGCGAAAGCTTCCGGCATGACGCGGACGGAGTTGATCAGAGTACTTCACGAGAGACCAGTTTTTCCTTCCGACGCCTGGAAGTTGGAGTTGTTGGCTCGTCGCGTCAAAATACCGAGCAAGGAGACCACTTACTGGTGTCGCGTGCATAAATTGCCACCGATCCTGTCCAAAAAGTAAAGAGAAATCGTTTATCCGCTACAACGATCGTTGATCGCTTCGATCGGAATCGCTCTGTCAGTTTTCCGGTGTACCATAATTACGCGTATTCGTATATTCGTAGGCATCATATCCTTCAGTTTGGTCCAGCGATACAAACGGGAAACGAGCATCTGGTACATCATATGGAAATCTTCCACTGCGTCGGGCCCGCGGATATGGAAATCCCCATGTACGACGGACCCTGCGACGATGCCGATAGGCCGGAGAAAACCCATGTAATTCTCTCT